AGCTCCTCCGTTTTGGCATGGATTGGAAGAACAAGGAAACTTTAAAGGAAAAAGAAACATCACTCACAGCAGTTATTTTTAAGTCATTTAATGTTGAAATGCTGTTTAATGATAGCAAAAGATTCTTACCGTAAAAGACGAATAGTGATGCCAACTCTTGCTTTCTTTGAGTTTGTCGGGGTCGTTAAACTTGTTGGTGGACAGTAACTCACACCACTTTTTTCCTTCGGCGGCCACGTTCACAGAAACGCAGAGCGGATGGTCAAGACATTTTAAGATGCATTCAAAGTCGTCATATGGCGTAATTACGTCAATTCGGGGTACATTTAGATAATGGAACTTGTCCACTGAAAGCAGATTCTGTCTTGAATTCTGCCCATACTCGGAATCGAAATTAGTACGAGTATCTGTCGGTTGAAGATAATTCTTAAAAGTTAGGATATTCTTAACTGTAATTATTTGGGGGAGAAAAGTACTGATTTCTGCAAACTAGAAACTTTGAATGGGAGTAACTGACGGTTTTGGGTAGATTCTTTCCTTTTACCCGAGAAACTGCTGAAATTAGTATTGTTTCTATCAATAACGAAAGTTTACCATGTTTGCCATTATATTACGTGTTCACGTTACCGTGGGAAATCCAGTCTCTGTCTTTGCTTTTAAGGTTACCCCTCATTTTGGCGAGTGCCTTCAGAAAAACAAGTTACACGCGATTTTCACATGAAACCAAAATAAACTAAATAACAATGAATAGGTTATGCAATGCAGAATTCGATTAAATTGTAGGCTATTCGACTTTGCCTCCTTTAAGGCGAATGAAGCCGGTTGACAGAAAAATGACCAAGCACTATTCTAGCGAATTAACCACAGATCAGTTGTGTGGAATGGTGCTCAGGTATTAAACTAAGACATTTGGAGGCCAAATTTTGCGAAGTATTTCTCGTTTATTCTAAAGGAAATCAGTTTTTCTTTATGCTTTGAACTCCTTTACAGCATCTTTAGTCTTTTAAGGATGCTAAAAAATTGCCTCTTGATTGCAATCGAGGCAGATGTGATGTTTAGAATTACGTGGTGAAAAAAAAATATGTCAAAAAATTAGATTCCGTTAGAGATTAATCCAAAAATATAAATATCGTGGAGGCTTAACTTGTTATAATAAAGATGTTTTGTTTCGTTGATGGTAAATATCATTATAAGATGAAAACAGGATAATGTAAATTTTTTTTTTTTTTTTGCAACCGTTTCGCGTATGTAAAAATTATCTGTTGAGGAAATGTTTGACTCGGTTTAGTCTAAATAGCCGCAGGTAACCAACGGTTTTGTTTAAAGTTGGAAAATGCGCATACAGATGTTACACACCTGCGGGAATCACCTGGATTTGTACCCAAAATTGGCTTGAAAAGTTTTCTTTTCACCCTATTTCGGAATGATGATGTTCAATAACATGTTTATGTCAGGAGAGGAACTGCTTGCATTTTCTCCTAAAAATATTACTTAGTTACGAGACATCCATCTACAGAATTGAATGTTAATTACAAAATTGTTAACATGTTCTTTTAGGCTTAAGTGAGGTAGATGTGATGTTTAGAGTAACGAAGTCATACGCTGTGTTGAAACACGCTTCTGATTTTACGTGGTGAAAAAAAAATATGTCCAAGTTAATAAAAGTTTATGACGCCCTAAAAATTAGATTCCGTTAGATATTAATCTAAAAAGGTGAGAAACGAAGAGGCTTCACTTGCTATAATAAAGATGATCTGTTTTGATTGTGGTAAATAACATTATATGATAAGATGATGATAAGTTTTTTTTGCAACAGTTGACTCGGTAATTGCTTTTTCGTTTACGTAAACATTATTTCCTAAGGGAATTTTTGACTCGGTTTAGTCTAAATAGCTGTAGGTAACAAACGGTTCTGTTTAAAGTTGAAAAATAAGTATCCGGTGTTACTCACCGGCGGGAATTACCTGAATTTGTACCCAAAATCGGCTCGTAAAGTTTTTCTTTTCACCCTATTTCAGTATGATGATGTTCAATAACATGTTCATGTCAGGAGAGGAACTACTTGCATTTTCTCATAAATACCTCACTTAGGTTACGGAGACATCCACCAACGAAATTGAATGTTAATTAAGAAACTGTTAACTTGTCCTTTTAGGCCTATATTAATTGTTTTTACAAGGCTTTCCTACGTTGCTGAGCCTTTAAGTACTGCAAAGTGGAATAATTGCCACCTCGGTAAATTCCTTCATTTGTGAGATTTGAAATTTTGCTTGTAGTACTGGGTGAATGGCAGATAAAAGTTCGTCATGTTTTTTTTTTAAGTGCTTCCTAAGTGCTTTTTCGTGTATGTAAACATTAATTTTTGGGGGAATTTTCAACTCATTTTATTTTAGATTGCCGCAGGCAACTAACGGTTCTGTTTGAGGCTGGAAAAAGCGTTCCCAGATGTTACTCACCGGTGGGAATCACCTGAATTTGTACCCAAAACTGAATTGGCTCGAAAATTTTTGCTTTTCACCCTATTTCAGAATGATGATGTTCAATAACATGTCTATGTCAGGAGAGGAGCTGCTTGCATTTTCTCATAAATATTTTACTTAGGTTACGACACATCCATCTACGAAATTGAGTGTTAATTAGGAAGCTGTCAACATGTCCGTTTAGGCTTATCTTATTTGTTTTTACATGGCTTACCTACGGTGCTTTTAAGTTCCGCAAAGCGGAATTAATTGCCCCTTTGGTAAATTCCTTCATTTGTAAGAGTTGAAATTTTGCTTGAAGTACGCCTCATAAAAATAATCTGGGTGAATGGCAGATAAGAGTTCGTCATGTTTTTTTAATGAGCAAATGAGGTAGCACACTTGGGCTCACAACTTCTCTAAAATTATTAAAATATACTATCCTCCAATTGTAAAAGATAAAACAGAAATGTCTGGATGTACTCTTCGGTAATTTTTTGCGATTTCATACGGTGCGATTTTATCGCATCGCACTTTAATTTTTCCCATCTTCAACAGTTCACGAAACACATACAGCTGGTTATTTAAACAAAGTTTATCCTTTGTTTAACAAAAGCGAGTTCTAAGCCATCTTCTATTTGGCCGAACCTTTCATCTGAACTTTTATTTTTGTGAACAGTGTCAAGAGGGCCGAAAGCGAATACTGGAAGGACATTCATTCAATTAAATCAACCCCCCTATAGAGAATCCTCGAAATCCAATGATTAGGTAAAACCGTGGTTTGGGTTAGTTTGGCATCGTGCAAATAACCGGCCCATTATGTCAAAGAACAAACAGCAGTATATGCTAACGTGCTATTTCCATCAGAAAATTGAAAAGCCGCCATCTGTATCTTGCAGGAAATATTGAAAACACGATAACAATGAAACCGTTGCTTTATTTTCTGTCGATCGTGCCTCTTTTTTTACGGTAGTAGTGAAAGATTCGATTTCTCAGTTTTCATTTGTCAAAGAACATACGTGAATAACCAACCTTGTGACCAGGCAATCTTGGGTATCATTGAACACAGCTCCAGTAACAGAAAACAGATCCAAGTGAAAGACATAGCACAAAGTCATACAGACATGGAGTACAAACTGAATTTTTTCCACCTGTACTAAGCGTGATATTAGCTTCATTTAACTTCTTGTTTACTTTTCAACCTATAGCTGTCTAGAGTTCTGTATATGTGCCTTTTATGGTATAATTTTATTGAACAAGAAGTCTATGCAAGGAATAAATATGAGGAAAATTCAAATATTAATTTTACAGAATGCCAAAGCGTAAACTCCGTTTCCATGGCCAGTTTCGCCAAATAAAGGCAGCAAGGATGAAAGGCCATTAATTTTCAAGGTTATTTCTCTTACTAACTTTACACCTATCCAACGCTATCGAACTTATACAAAGTTGTTTGAAATTCCCATCTTATTTAAAAACTAACACAACAACTATA